TGTAAATTGGTCCGAAACCAAACCAGTGGCTCTCCTGAATAGAACCTGCAAAATAGATTTGGATTGATAATCCTCACATTAATTGTAAAAGGAATGAAAAAATATCTAACTTACAAAGCTAAAAGAAAGATGTGAGGATTATAGCTCAAATTGATATGAGGATTATCACATGCATCAATTAGATCTAAAAGAAAGATTTATAGAGCTAAAACTTTCTTTATTCATCCTACTTTACAAAATAAAAAAATTAATCAAATATATATTTCACATGTTACCTATTAGAAAGTAATAGATAATTCTATCTAGTTAAATGAATGGCTTACAGTTATTTGAGAATACCACAATAAACTCTAAAAAAGAAATGGTCTTATATTACAAAAGTTTTATCTATAAGGAATACAGTACTGTTAATCCTGTCAAAAGTTGATATTTTTTATAATATAAAGGAAAAATTTGTTAATGCTTAACAGCATTACATCGGGGTGAAAAATTAAAATATTGATAATAAAAAATGTAGTAATACCGTGTGGATAGATTTTAAACATGTTTGGCCAGAACCAAAGCCCACCAGCAGCGTCACTTTCCCATTCGCTTGAGCTTATCAGCCAGAATTAGTCCTACTTTTCAGTGATGGGAATAATATTTTTCTCTTATAACAAATCAGTCCTACAAATCAGTCACAGCCATGTCAGAGTTCTTTTAATGGCCTTTTCAGGAATTTTTGATTAAATAACAATATCAAAAGTAGGTGGTGTTTAAATCCACGAAGTAAAGTTTAAGGATGTCACATCGGGTGTCACATGTGGGTGTCACATGGGGGTGTTCGGATACTAATAAAAAAACAAATTACAGAATCTGTCGGTAATCCGCGAGATGAATTTATTAAGCCTAATTAATCCTTCATTAGTATATGTTTACTGTAGCACCATATTGTCAAATCATGAACTAATTAGGCTTAAAAAATTCATCTCGCAAATTAGTCGTAATCTATACAATTAGTTATTTTTTAGTATATATTTAATACTCCATGCATGTGTCGAAATATCCGATATGATAAGGAGTAAACTTGATGGAGAGGAAATAAACGCCTAAATTTCGTTATCTCTCGACGTACTCACAAGTCACAACAGTATTGCGCTAGTGTCCGTCTCTCTAAACATGTTTTGTACAGCACCTATTTATTTATTCCCCTGTTCATCAACTTATTGGTTTCTTTTTTATGCGTTTTTAAAGAACTAGTAAAGCTACCGTGTGCTATGGAACCTAGTATTAGCTTAGTTAGTATGGCCTTAGGGCGGGCATGAGCTTCATTGATCCTTTGAGCCCCCTGCAGCGCGGGCGAAGTGCTTTGTAACAAAGCTTCTCATTTTTTAATATAATGACATGTAAACCTTTTGCCTGTTCAAGAAAAAAACCTAGTATTTCTCAAGACAAAAATGTTTGTTATTTTAGTGTATATATATAGTCTAGATACTCCAAGTCAAAGAGATTGTTTGCTTCAGAGAATTTAGAAATTCAATTCAATTTCATGCAGTCCAAAAGAGTTTAAACCCCAGTTTTATTGACACCATTTCATTGACAAAGCCGGACATAGAGAGGACTGCATTTCATTCACACGGAAACGAGGAGCAACAAGCCAGGTAACCTGTATCATTTGCTACTATCGTGGCAACCAAGCAAACGGGAGACATGCTTTGCTTACACACAACAACGTGGCTAGGATGCGAGCAGGAAGAGGCATCCTATGCTATAATTTACCCTTCTCAACCTTCGGGCTTGTTTCGACCTATTAACACTAAAAATTATCTAGCTATTAGCTGTTAATTTTTAGCTAGCTATTTTTTAACAGGTGCTATTTGGATATACCTGTTAATAGATGTCTGATAGTGAGTTGAAGGTGTATATGAACTATTAACACTTGTTAGCAACTCTAAACCTGCTAATGAAACTAATACTTAACAGCCCACCTGCTAATAGTTAGCAGGTTTATTAGCAAATCTGTTTACCGCTAATTTTAGCTACTGCCCCCGCCTGCCCCAAATTACAACACTTCACCGGAAAAAACACAAACGCAAAAAAGAAAAAGAAAAAAAAAACACGAGCAGGTGCTTGTAATGCTGTGGGCCCACCTCTTTGTTGCTCCACTTCTCTCGCTCATCACGACGGCCTTCACTCGGCTGTCAGCTCAGCTCGAGCTCCACTTGGCAAGTTTGGCAGCATCCATAAAAGCCCCTCTCCTCTTTATCTCTCTCGCACCCACCCACTCCACCATTCCCGTGCACGAACACACACTCCATACTCCACGAGCCTTTTACCTCCGTGCCACCGTAAAAGATAGTCCTAGGCTACTTACCACTAAAAAGTTTGAATATACTTTGGTGCCATCATCAAACTTTTTTTTTTACCCTCCACACAATTCCATCCAGTTTTGCCTCCGATGCTATCAATCAGGCAGATGAAATAACCATTTTATCCTTATAGTGGGGCCTGTTTGTCAGCCACCCAAACCTTCTCTCTCTGCCTGCCCCTCTGGCCTTATCCCCTCCACCAGTCCACCCTCTCCACCAACGGCAGCCGACCAAGAAATCCCCGCCCAACCTCCGTCGCCCCTCTGGCTCTACCTCCGTCCCGTCCACGACGCCGGCCGGGGCCGCACGCCCACCCCACCATGGCCGCTCCACCACCACCGCAGCAGCCGAGCCTCCGCCACCGACGCTCCCCGGATGCGTCGTGGAGTCTGCCCATTCTTGGGCTCAAGGCCCCACTTTCACATGACTGCAGCGAGGTTCGACGACGGCGACGGCTTTGTCCGCCCACGCCTAGTGACCGAACTGGAGCTCTCGCACGGAGAAGCGCGCTCATGGCACGGGAGCCACCGGTCTCCTCCTTCCTCCATGTCCACTTCCGCGGCGTCGAGGAGAAGGTGCCTCCGCCGTCGTTGATGGAGATCCACGCAGCGCGCCCACCACAAGTAGGCCACGACACACATGGTGTAAAAGCCGCCACCATCATCCGGCTCTAGGGACCGACGGGGTTTGGGAGTGGTCAAGACGCGCCCGCTATCGCCGGACGCCGGGGCGCCGGGCGCCCTCAAGGCGGCAATCGCCGCCGTGCGAGATGTCATCCCATCACGACCACCGTGTCATCTCCTACCACAAGCATGGCGGGCGGAGCTTGGCGTCAGCCACAGCTGGTAAAGGCGGCGCGAGGGCTACGTGGCGGCGTCGAGGCCACCGTGTTGCGGGCTTGTAGACGAGGCCTGAGATGGTGCCGCCAGAGAGGCGAGCACTCGAACTCTGTGGTGGCGTGATCGCCGAACCAACCGGCGAAGTCGTCCCAAAGAAGCTAATGCCATGAATGGGGACGGGCCGAGGCGGAGCGTGCCGGGCGTTCTCACGGCTGGCGGCTGTGAGCTCGCCGCAGCACTCCGCCCACCTCGCATCCATGGCGCCGGCCAGCAAGGCGTCGTGCGTCAGCGCCCGCCTGCGCGAGACGGGCCGAGCGCAAGGTCACAGCATGGCCGCCTGCGCGAGGTGCCGTGGTTGCGGCGGCAATACTGCTTGGCGCGCCATGGCGCCGATGCTACGCTGCTTGTTGTGGCCCACACCGACAAAGACACCTGACGATGCGACCGAAGCGAAGCCTCACGTCTTGTGAACAGGCGTGACGAAGGGCGGATCGCGCAAGACGGCGGCCGAGTTGGTGGGCGGCTTTGGGAGCGTGATGCAGGAGCGCGACGGAGAAAGAAGGTGCACATGTCACTTACAACTTGGCCTCACCAGGCAAAGAGAGAAAGAAGAGAGAGGACTGGGTCAGAGAGAAGGGTATTTTGGATATCACTATCGGTCGGGTCTACATGTCAGGGCTGTCAAACGGTAGAAATCAAAAAAAAGATGGACGGAATGGTTTGGAGGAAAAAAAAAAGTTCGACTATGGCATTAAGATGCGTTCAAATTTTTTAGCTCCACGGCCCAAGCTCGGCAGCTCACCGCCGGCGGTAACCATCCAAAAGCGACCCGCACAAACAAGGATAAAACAACGAGTAAAAGCAGAGCAGCAGCATAAAAGCTCGCGCACTCCCCCGTCGCCATTGCCGCCCCCTCTCGACAAAAACGCCACTACCTTACGCCCTCCGCCCCTCCCCGTTGCCACTTCGCTCGGCCAAGAAGCGGCAGGTCACTGCTACTCCAGGAGGGAGAAAGGCCAGGGACTCAGGGAGCTTTGCTCTTCGGAGGAGAGGAGCGGTGAGGTGGGCGGCGGGCACGCACCATGGCCGCAGCGCCGCGTCTTCTTGCCGCCTGCAGCTGCGCCGGCGCCGGTAGTCGCATCCTGCTCGCTGTCTTCCTCCTGGCGGCCTCCCTGTTGGCCTCGGCGGCCAATGCGGCCGTCTCGTACGACCACCGCTCCTCGTCATCAACGGCCGCCGCCGCATCCTCATCTCCGGCTCTATCCACTACCCGAGAAGTACCCCCGAGGTACCGTACTCGTACAATCTCGCCTCCGTGTCCATGGCCGGCCGTCTCTTCGCCTCCCTCGCCCAAATGCAGGTCGCCTGCCTGCTTGCCGTTGCGCGCCGCTTCAAACCAGAAGCTGGTCGGCGGCCGGCGGCTCTCACCTCGACTGACTGACTGGTTCTTGCTCTCCGACTCCGAGTCGAATGCAGATGTGGCCCGGGCTGATCCAGAAGGCCAAGGACGGCGGCCTGGACGTCATCCAGACCTACGTCTTCTGGAACGGCCACGAGCCGGTGCAGGGCAGTACCACTTCGCCGACCGCTACGACCTCGTCCGCTTCGTCAAGCTCGTCAGGCAGGCCGGCCTCTACGTCCACCTCCGCATCGGCCCCTACGTCTGCGCCGAGTGGAACTTTGGGTACCCACCACCACCAACACTCTTGTCTCTCGCAGACTACGAATTTTTGGTCCTGTAATGCAATTCGGTTGTGAATTGCTAGAACTACTGTAATGTGCTAACATTGCAGTCGATGTCTGTTCTTTTCAGTGGCTTTCCTGTTTGGCTCAAGTATGTGCCGGGCATCAGGTTCAGGACAGACAATGGCCCCTTCAAGGTAGTGTACTGGTTTCACTTTCACCCAAAGAGATTTGATTTGTTTTCAGTTATGGCAATGAGATAAGATTTTGTCTTTCTTCCATTTTGCATCAATTGGGTGGGTGGGGGCTGGAGGATGTGCCTGATTCTTTTTTTTTACCCCAGGCGGCAATGCAGAAGTTTGTGGAGAAGATAGTGTCCATGATGAAGTCGGAGGGGCTATTCGAGTGGCAGGGAGGCCCAATCATCATGGCTCAGGTGTGCACCGTCACATTTTTGGTTCAACTTTGCAATGCAACTCGCAATTGGAGCAGAACTAGAGCCTCATCCGCCCACTATGTGCAGGTGGAGAACGAGTTCGGGCCAATGGAGTCCGTCGTGGGCAGTGGCGCCAAGCCGTATGCTCACTGGGCGGCACAGATGGCTGTTGGGACCAACACCGGCGTGCCGTGGGTGATGTGCAAGCAGGATGATGCCCCGGACCCTGTGGTATGTTCGGTTGCATGCTACTCCTGCACCATCAACGGTGGCGTGGCTGGCTGGTGTCAAGTACCTGAATTTCTTATGTGCAGCTTAACTGTTTTCGGTTCTTACATTGTGTGAATTGATCATTGCAGATCAACACTTGCAACGGCTTCTATTGCGACTACTTCACACCGAACAAGAAGTACAAGCCGACCATGTGGACCGAAGCCTGGACTGGATGGTACTTCTCTTGATCCAAGTCGTGCCAGAAGTCATGCCGATCCCGTGAAAACGTTTCGATATCTAAGAATGGTCTAATTTTGTAATTTTACAATATCAAAAGGTTTACCAAGTTTGGTGGCGCGGTGCCTCACCGGCCTGTGGAGGACCTGGCCTTCGCCGTGGTGAGGTTCATTCAGAAAGGAGGCTCCTTCGTGAACTACTACATGGTAAGAAAACTAAGGAGGCCATGCTGGTCACACCATTACTGCCGTTGCAGTCAATGCTATTCTTGTTGTTGTCACCACATTTGCATATTCTGAATCTGATGCAGTACCATGGAGGGACAAACTTTGGGCGCACGGCCGGTGGCCCCTTCATCGCAACCAGCTATGACTATGATGCCCCCATCGATGAATTTGGTATGCAGTGATTGCCATCTTTGACAAACTTGAATTCCCATCGGTTGTCATCCAGAGATATTTGTTGGGAAGTTTACAGCGTGGTTTTACCTGTTTGTTCACATGAGTTGGGCTGAGCTGACCTGAAAAGTCTGGGATGTACATTTCAGGTCTGCTTAGGCAACCAAAATGGGGTCACCTGAGGGACCTGCACAGGGCTATCAAGCAGGCTGAGCCCGCGTTGATTTCTGGTGATCCAACAATACAATCAATTGGAAACTACGAGAAGGTTAATTTTTGCTACGGAATTTTCTCACATGGCAATGTGTTGCCAAATACAAGAAAACATCAGCAGATGATGGAACGATCAATTGTTTTCCAGGCATATGTCTTCAAGTCGAAGAATGGAGCCTGTGCCGCATTCCTGTCGAACTACCACATGAAGACTGCTGTGAAAATCAGGTTTGATGGGCGTCATTATGACCTCCCTGCTTGGTCCATCAGCATTCTGCCTGACTGCAAAACCGCGGTCTTCAACACTGCAACGGTGAGAGCGTACTGAAGGCTGAATCTTTCGTTCTCTCTACAGGACAAACGGGATCATGTAGTCTAATGAGAAAAATGTGATAATTGTGTAGGTGAAGGAGCCAACTCTGCTGCCGAAGATGAACCCGGTGTTACACTTCGCTTGGCAGTCCTACAGCGAAGACACAAACTCGCTGGATGACAGTGCGTTTACAAGGGATGGCCTGGTCGAGCAACTCAGCTTGACATGGGACAAATCAGACTATCTGTGGTACACCACCCAGTGAGTGACTGACTGGCCTAGTGGCCTTGATAAGGCTTCATCGATCATTGGAACCATTTCTTTCTGAAACCTTATGGATTATCTTAACTTTGAATTATGCTCACTGCAGTGTCAACATTGGTGCCAATGAACAATTCCTGAAGTCTGGCCAGTGGCCTCAGCTCACTGTGTATTCCGCTGGACACTCGATGCAGGTGTTCGTCAATGGGAGATCATATGGTACTAATAACTTCTCTCTCTAGCAGCATTTTGTTAACAATCAGGTCTGTACGAGGATTATACTGAGAGAATGTTTATGTTGTAGGATCTGTTTATGGCGGCTATGACAACCCGAAACTTAGGTTCAATGGACATGTGAAGATGTGGCAGGGCAGCAACAAGATCTCCATCCTAAGCTCAGCAGTGGGCCTTCCTGTAAGTTGATTGATCACAGGCCAATTCAATATCATAAAAAATCATCTTACTCTAAAAAATGTTTGTAACGCCGAATATGGTGGTGATGTAGAACAATGGCAACCATTTTGAGTTGTGGAACGTCGGCGTCCTCGGGCCAGTGACCCTCTCCGGCCTGAATGAGGGGAAGAGGGACCTCAGCCATCAGAAATGGACATATCAGGTGCTTGTACCATCCAGGCATCCGCGAAAAAATGCCTTCTTCCATCAGAAATGCTAATAAGCTCATCACAGAATCACACTGAATCTTGCCTGGCGCAGGTCGGCCTGAAAGGCGAGTCGCTCGGCCTCCACACCGTGACTGGAAGCTCCGCCGTGGAATGGGCCGGCCCCGGTGGCAAACAGCCACTGACTTGGCACAAGCTGGTCCTTCCATTAGCGATTTGAACTTCTGAAGAGATGGCATTGGCAGCAGTGATAAGTGACTTGTGTTGCTGAATCCTTGTTTGGTGTGACGAACAGGCCTTGTTCAACGCGCCGGCAGGGAACGATCCGGTGGCTCTGGACATGGGCAGCATGGGCAAGGGCCAGATGTGGGTGAACGGGCACCACGCCGGGAGGTACTGGTCGTACAGGGCCTACTCCGGCAGCTGCCGGCGGTGCAGCTACGCCGGGACGTACCGCGAGGACCAGTGCATGTCAAACTGCGGCGACCTCTCCCAGAGATGGTACGTACTGTATTCCGTAGAAACAAAGCTGTGGCGTGCAAACGTGGGAAGTGAGGATATGGCGCGAGCTTGTTGAGAACACACATGACATTTCTGCACATTTGCAATTGCAGGTACCACGTGCCGCGGTCGTGGCTGAAGCCAAGCGGGAACCTGCTGGTGGTGCTGGAGGAGTACGGCGGCGGCGACCTCGCCGGCGTCGCCCTCGCGACACGGACCACATGAACATGGCGAGCCACACACATTGCGTCTAACTCGTACATATACTCCAATGTGTGAGTATATCGATGATCCATTGATTAGTTACTGAGCCCATGACGTGGAGCAAACTAACCACGCCGTATTTGTGGATGGTATTTATACACACACCACCGTACACTACACTCAAATCACATCATAGCAACGGTATACTACAAGGAAGGGGAGGATGGCATTTATGCAGAGCGGAGGGTGGTTGCCGGCCATCAGTGCGGCCGCAGGAACGGCAGCTAGCTGCACCGGCCGGCCACCGGCACACACTTCGAGGCCAATTCAATTGGATTCTTTTTTTTTCGGTTTCAATTCTCTGAATGTTACTAGTGCTACACGGTACTCCGTATGTATGCTGGCAGTAGGTGTTTGCTGCTGCTCGCGGCAGGCCACTGCATGCTGTGTTTTTGAAGACGTGGACATGAAACACTGATCGATGTAGCTTGATCTGTTTATGGAATGGTAATACTCCATTGCATGCACTGGTCGCTTGAACTTATCGGCCCGGCTTAGCAACCATGTTACAATGTTTTTCTTTTACAACAAAACAGCATTAGCCGGCTTATTAGTCGTAAAAACCATGAGCCAAAGCTATTTTGCTGTCGTACTGTTGTTGGTATTTGAAAATTTGTACTAGGACTGGTATTAGTTCAAAAATTGGTACTGTATGCGGTATGTATAGCACTGTACTATTCACTGTGGTCAAACAGAAGCATGGGAAGGCTTGCAGTGCCAGAGGTCGGCACAGTACTCTGTTGCTTTTGCTGCATCTGCTCTCTGCTGCAATGAGAGCCTGACGAGTGGCGAGAATCCATATAAAAAGTTGCAAACCGCTGGTGTTTACGCGTCCTATCTGAAAAGTCGGTGCTCGAATTCATGAGATTGGATGCGAGTGTTGAGCTGCAAGAATCAGAGTGGTGGCAGTGGCAGGATAGGATGTGCAGGGCACTGTCCGACGCTCCGATCCATGTTTCTGCTTGTAAAATTTCAGGCGGGAAGAAGGCAAACCAATGAAGGTTGGCGCCAAAAAGAGTTTCATTGGAACTTTATGTTGTATTTACGTGGCAAAAGCGTGTTCAGTTTCTCCTCCTAAACTTTAGTCGTTGTTCTATCGGATGTTTGATACATGCATGGAGTATTAAATATAGACTAATTACAAAATTAATTGCACAGCTTGCGACTAATTTAGGAGACGAATCTTTTAAGCCTAATTAGTTCATGATTTGACAATGTAGTACTACAGTAAACATATGCTAATGACGAGTTAATTAGGGTTAATAAATTCGTCTCGTGGAGTAACGATGGATTCTGTAATTTATTTTTTTATTAGTATCCGAACACCCTATGCGACACCCTCACGTGACATCTCTTAAATTTTAGTTACCGGATCCAAACACCCCATAAGCCTAAAAACAATTATACTGCTTGTGAGCTACGAGACTGGAATTCTTTATTTAAACATTACATTTGCCAAAGTATCGTGTAAGAGCAAGGCTAATAATACAGACAGCTGCTGATTGTAAGAATTCTTGCAGTCTATCTCTCAGCCCACTCATATAGTGGTCAGTCCTTCACTATTAATACATGGCCCGTCTGTCTCTCTAACAGAGTTTCTTGGTTTTTGTGTCTAAGTTAGCTGTAAGTTTACAACCCGCTTCTCATCTCTCTCCTCTCCTCTCTCCTCCACCTCACCATTCAGCTTTCTTACAGACTCTTATTATACTCGCTCTAAGGCCATGTTCGCTTGTCAACTTGTTTTTTCAGTCAAAATAATATTTTTCTCTCACAATAAATCAGTCGGAACAATGTTTCGGTTTATTTTTTCAGCGAAGCGAACGGGGCCTAAGGGTGCGTTTGGATGCTGGCCGCATATTGCCAAACCTTTGGCTCGCCATAAAATCTGGGACGTTTATTTCGTTCCTGACACAAGTGTGGCAGCCACAAGAAAACGTAGTACAAAAGCAGCCACAAATTGTGGCGTCGAATTTTTCCGCCACATGTGCGGCTCGCCACAACTCGCCCCACCTTGGGCGTGGCTACCGATGGCCGCTAACCAAACATCAATCTCAATTAAACCTTTGCAAAAAAAATTCTTCTTATGGTATATAACCATGAGGGTAACAAGTTAACCAAGACCTAATATTGTCCGTCAGTTTTTAACTGTCTTTCTCATTTCTTGAGAAGTCAAATATACTCAACTTCAACCAAATATATATAAAAAATATTCCTTCATCCCTTTTTAATTGTCATTCTTGTAGGATCTCTAGAACGACTAGAGGAGGGTGAATAGGCCTGTAAAAATTCAACTCAAACCGAAGTCAAATTCACCCGTGGCACTGCCGCTCTATGAGCGCGGCACTGCCGCACTTGTAAACCAAGTGCTTTTTAGAGTTTGGGAATCAATGGAGCTGCTGCTCTCTAATCGAGTTGTAAGGAAAATGGACCTTAGGCCCATTTACTTTGGATTTTGGTACTTGATGACCAACACAACCAAATTAGACTAATGAATCTGTAAATGTTTGTTTTGTAGTCCAATAGGGTGCAAGACGTGACTTAGACGAAGGCGAAGTGATGATCCGATGATCAACACCATAATCAAGACCTTAGAAGCACAAGAGAAGACCCAAGATATCGAGCAAAGTCTAAGCACGAAGATAGGAACCAAGCCGTACGCAAGATCACGAAGAAACGAGCTCTTAGAGGCGACCGTACGCTGGACCGGACGCGCCGATGAAGAGGCTCAGCAAACTGGCGTTAGCAGCAGCGACCGGACGCTGGATCAGACGCTGGGGACAAAACCGATCGGACGCAGGACAGTAGCGTCTGATCGAGTACAGAGAGGTTCCAGAGCAGCGTACTTACGATCGGACGCGTCTGGTGGCAAGTGACCGGACGCTGGCAGCGTCCGATCAGTTGTTTGCGGCTCCAACGGCTGGGACAACCAGACGCGTCCGATCAGGATGACTCCAGCGTCCGGTCAGTAGCAGAAATGCGGGATATCATCCCCAACGGCTACTTTCTCAGTGGGGCTTATAAATACAACCCCCAACCGGCCATTTGGGAGGAGTGGAGCTGATGAAACATATCTAGGGTGTTGATACACCATTTTAGTAATCTCCACTTGCATAGTGCTTAGTGATTCATTAGGTGATTAGCATAGGTGCTTTACGAAGTGCTTAGGTTGATTAGACCATCGCTTATGCGCTTACTCTAGGTTTAGGCCTAGTGTTTAGTGAGGTTTGCATACCTCTTACCACTCGGTGCTTGCGTGCACCATTGTTGTACATCGAAAGGCCTTCTAGTATTGCGAGATCACACCAACCGCGTTTATGGTGTGGCCGCCACCGTGTACCGGAGGGAACAAGGCCCGCGGTGTTTCGGCCGGAAGCATCCGGGAGAGGCTTGCCGGAAGGCACGTCGGAGACCCACTTGCGCGTGATGAAGGCCCGAGGCTATCCACAGAGTTACCCGACCGGGAGCTTGGCCCTTGAGAGAGATTCCTTGCGAGGGGCTCCAACGAGGACTAGGGGGAAGCTTACACGCTTCTCGATACCTCGGTAAAAATACCGGAGTCATCGACGGGAGTTTACATATCTCTACCTTGCTCTTTAGCTTCCGCATTTACATTGATTACATTACTCCTTTTGCGGTAGAGATAGCAACACATTAGCAAAACCATAGTTGCACATTTAGATAGTTTATCTTTTGCATAGGTTTTGCTAAGGGTAGAAAAAGAGACCATAGTTTAGAGTTAAAATTTTAAGTTGCCTAATTCAACCCCCTCTTAGGCGTCACGGTCCCCTTCACGAGTTTTGGACCCTTATTCCTCAAGGATTGATGGGAAAATCAATGGATTTGCTTGGGGGCTTGAGGTCAACAATGGAGTGTGTGAGAGAGAGAACTCCTACTCTGTTTTGGGCGTACCAAAGTGAGGAAGAAGAGAGCTTGTTCGGTTACTATTGGGGAGGAAGGAGAAATGTTTATATACCCCCAGCCCCCAACGGTCACTTTAAATCGTAGATAGCCGTTGGGGAGGAAAGGGAAAGGTATATATACCCCTAGCCCACAACGGACACCACACCCAATAGGTCAGGCGAGACGAAGCCCGCGTCCTTGAGGTCGGGCGAGACGAAGCCCGCACCCAAGGGTCTGGTGAGACGAAGCCTGTGGCCAAGGGGTCAGACGAGACGAAGCCCGTGACCAAGGGGTCGGGCAAGACGAAGCCCGCGACCAAGGGTCAGGCGAGCCGGAGCCACGACCAAGGGGTCGGGTGAGCCGGATCCCGCGACCAAGGGGTTGGTCGAGCCGGAGCCCACGACCAAGGGGTCGGGATAGCTGGATCCCACACCATGCAAGACAACAAGGGTAATAGTGAAGTGTAAACTGTCTTGGCTGTGAATCTGAGGAAGGATGTGGTTGTTTGAGCACTTGATAGCACATATTAGCTTACGCATTGTGTGCCCCCTTTATAGTACGGCTTTTCCTATACTCAAATTCAATATAAAAAGAATTTAAACCTCCTTTAAGTTTGAAGCCATCTACATTTATAATTGGGGCTCCTCCATTTCGTGTAGCATCCTCAAATATAAATTTCCTGCTTGTCATCTCGATAAATCTCATTAGTTCTCTAATTGCGTGGTCATTATCACCAAAACCCATAATTAAGGCTTGATTGCACTTTCAATCTCCCCCTTTTTGGTGATTGATGACAACCCAATTAGAGCTTACAAAAGATATAAAATAAATATTGAGACTTTCAAGCCATGGGTGTAGAGCCTCCCCCTAAGTATGTGAATAGAGAATTGAATTCTCAAATTGCCATAAGAAGCCAAGATTCACATTTTAGTGAAAGTGATGGGGCTGCCCCTACATCCATGCTCCTGTGGGGTGCTGCATACTGTGTCAGGTATGTAAAACGTGATGCAAATAACAATTTATGCATAACATGGCTTGCTGTTGCAGCTGGGTGCGGCACA